GTGAAAAAATATCAAAAAAAATGGTGAAATACTACAATTTTCTCTGATGAATCCATCTTCCAAATGTTTCAGAATATGGTTCAGGTTTGTTATAAAGCTGGACAACCAGTGCCAACTCAAGGAATTGTGAAATATCCATTTAAAGTGCATGTGTGGGGAGCATTCTGCGTGAAGGGAATTATTGGATTTAAAATTTTTGTAGAAATTATAAATGGTGAATTATATCATGAAATACTGACTGAAAATTTATTTGAGCAAGCAAATCAGATTCTTGGTGACAAGTGGACATTTTAACAAGATAATGACCCTAAGCATCGTGCTAAGCTTATGACCATTTTATTGAATGATCAGTATCCCCATGTGCTTGATTGGCTATCATACTCACCAGATCTCAATCTGATTGAGAACTTGTGGTCAATTATGAAAAAAAGGATGGAGAAAAGGGTTAACTTGATGATTTATGAAAAAAAATCCATATTGCAAGAGGTTTTTATTAGAATAATAGAGGAGGAGTGGGAAAAAATCGATGTGGGATTATGTCAAAAATTAGTATGATCAATGTCGAAATGCCTTGAGCTAGTTATAGATAATAAAGGGTGTGAAACAAAGTATTAGAAATCAAAGTATGTACTATAGACTAGTTATAGTTAATTTTTGAGATTTTTTAAATAAAAATTGCGCAAATTAAATCATATCATTTGATTGTCATTTTTTTCCGCCACCACTGTATGTATATAGGTATATAGATATTATTAGCTAAGTAATTTTCATTTTTATGATTTATCGATATCTGCATACGTAATGGTAATGATAACGATAAAATTGGTCATTATATGTATATTCAAAAAGATCAACATACTGTCTACCCTTGAACATTGTCCATGTCCAACCATATTTCTTGATTGGACATGTCCGGTGACAATTGTGTCACTCGACAATCATTTGGATATGGACATTTGGATGTTGGACAATAACGATAATGTCCATGTCCAATGGACATTGTCCACTGCATGTACATGCATGCGTTTTTAGCCACGCATACAATAAAAGAAAACTGCATACATTGTTTGCAAATGGAATTTTGAAATTCTTACCACTACATACGCGACTATACAACGACAGCGATTATCCGTTTGTTTTCTATCATTTCATCGATTCACGCATTTTATAAAGTAAACTCAAAGATGGAATCAAATGCTCATTATTGTAGTAAATGTATTTGGTGTCAAACGAATAGATACTGCGAAGAGTGTTTAGTTCACAATACTCATGTTTGCAATAAATGTTATTGGTGCCAAGGACATAGTTACTGCGGTTACTGTTTTCAACATCACAAACGAATTTACAATGAAGAATTGTCTAGCGGTGATAAAGACATCGACAATCTAATAAAAGAATGTAACAAAGTTAATTATAAATATGCAAATTTATTCGAATGGATTCCTTTTGAAAGATTTATCAACGTTGAATATCTTGCAACAGGAGATTTTGGGTCAATTTATAAAGCAATCTGGTTGGATGGATCAATACTTCCCTATTGGGATCATGAAGAAAATAAATTTAAACGAAGAGGTGAAATAAAAGTTGTGTTGAAATCGTTACGCAATTCACAGCAAATTACTCATGAGTTTATAAACGAGGTAAAAATGGACAATTTTTAAAGTTACTTTGTGTTCCTAATATAATTAAATTTTCAAAAATAGATACAAACTGGGCTTAAAAATTATGATTACGGCAACTTGATATCATATTATGGAATGACTAAAAACCCAGTTGCAAACGATCACATATACTTGATAGTAATGCATGAATTCTATGGTGACCTTCACAAATATAGAATGGAGTCAAATACATGTACTCAACATTGTAGTAAATGCGAGAAATGTCAAAATGGATACTGTGATGAGTGCTTAGTTCACAATACTCATTATTGTAATGAATGTACTGAATGTCAAGAAAATAAGTACAGCTGCGATAACTGTTTCAAATATCACAAACGAATTTATAACGATGGATTGTCTAGCGGTGATAAAGATATCGACAATCTAATAAAAGAATGCAACAATATTAATTACAATTATAAAAATATATTCGAATGGGTCCCTTTTGAAAGATTTACCAACGTTGAGTATCTTGCAAAAGGAGGTTTGGTGTCAATTTATGAAGCAACTTGGTTAGATGGACCAATAAATAATGGATATTGGGATCATGAAGAAAATAAATTTAAACGAAAAAGAGAAGTAAAAGTTGTGTTGAAATCATTACACAATTCAAAGAAAATTACTCAAGAGTTTATACACGAGGTAAAAAAATGAACATTTGCTAAAGTGAAAGTTGTTTTTTGTTTTCTGAAATAATCAAACTTTTCAAAAATAGATTCTTGAATTCAGCTATGGAATAACTAAAAACCTAACTACAGGTGAACACTCGATAGTGATGGAATCTCATGATTGTGGTAAATGTATTGAATGTCGATATGATAGGTACTGCGGTGACTGTTTCAAATATCGCAAACGTATTTATACTGATGAATTGCCTAGCGGAGATAAAGATAGCAACAATATAATAAAAGAATGCAACAAAATTAATTATAAATATGAAAATATATTCGAATGGATCCCTTTTGAAAGATTTACCAACGTTGAATATCTTGCAAAAGGTGATTTTGAATCAATTTCTAAAGCAACCTGGTTGGATGGACCATTATTGGATAGAAGCTACTATTCCATCTGGGATCATAAAAAAAATAAATTTAAACGAAGGGGTGAACATAAAGTTGTGTTGAAATCATTACAAAATTCAAAGCAAATTACTCAAAAGTTTATACAAGAGGTAAAAACAAACATTTCTAAACTGAACGTTACTTTTTATTTCCTGATATAATAAATTTTTCAAAAATAGATTCAAACGGCGCTTAAATGTTATGATTACGGCACCAGGATAGCATATTATGGAATGACTAAAAATCAAGCTACCAACGAATACTCAATAGTAATGTCTTATGCATTCTATGGTGACGAACTTCACAAATATAAAGTGAACTCAACGATGGAATCAAATAGTCACCATTGTAATGTTTGTCAAAAATATCTTTATTACTGCGACAAGCATTTAGTTCACAATACTCATGATTGTAGTAAATGTGCTAAATGTCAAAGAGATGAGTACTGCGATGACTGTTTAAAATATCACAAACGAATATCTAATGATGAATTGTCTAGCGGAGATAAAGATATCGACTATCTAATAAAAGAATGCAATAGATTTAATCAAGGAGATAAATTATTTGAATGGATTCCTTTTGAAAGATTTACTAACTTTGAGTATCTTGCAAAAGGAGGGTTTAGTACAATTTATAAAGCAAGCTGGTTGGATGGACCAGTGAGTTATCCTTATGAATGGAAACATGAAGAAAATAAATTTAAACGAGATGGAGAAAGAAAAGTTGTGTTGAAATCATTACGCAATTCAAAACAAATTACATCAGAGTTTATACATGAGGTAAAAATGAACATTTTCCAAAGACAAAGTTGCTTTTTGTTTTCTAATACAATCAAAATTTTTCAAAAATAGATTCAGATTGCTCTTAAATGCAGTTGTGATGCTATAAGTTATTATGGAATAACTAAGAACCACGTTACTAATGAATATTCGGTGGTGATGACTTATGCAGAAGATGGTGATCTCCGTAAATATATTAATTCCAACCACAAAAAATTGACTTGGAATCAAAAATTAAAATATTTAACCGATATAATCTATGAATTGAAAAAAATCCACAAAGAAAAGTTTGTACATCGTGATTTTCATCCTGGAAATATATTAATGTCGAATTATCCTCAAATTGCTGATTTTGGGCTTAGCATTCCAACAAATATAGGAAAATCTAAGCAAGAAATTTGTGGAGTGCTTCCTTATATGAGTCCAGAGGTATTAAATGGAAAGCCATACACTAATGCTGCAGATATTTATAGTTACGGAATGATTGTATACGAGATTGCAACTGGTAAAAGACCATTTGGTGAACGGAGTCATAATATAAATCTGGTATTAGACATCTATAAAGGAGTACGGCCTACAATACCAAATGATATCCCCGAATGGTGCAAATTTGTTATTGAAAAGTGTTGGGATCCTATTCCAGAAAAGAGACCAACTGCTGAGGAACTTTATTACTTTATTAGATCTATTAGATATCCAGAAAAAACTTCGTGGTGGGGATTGAATCCTTTGCATTTTCAATACTACAATCCTTTAGAATATCATAAAACAGATGAAGAAATCAAAGAGTGTATTAAACTAGAGAGGCGGAAGTGGAAATTACAAAAAAGCATACCTACGAATATAAACAAAAATCAACAAATCCACCCAAATGCAATTTACACTAGTCGAAAGTTTACTTCAAAATTAATATCAATCCAAACTGATACAGGTACATACATACATTTATTTTTATATTAAGCGAAATGATTTTTCAGATTTTAAAGAGATCAATTATTTAGGTTCTATTAACATCAGTTTATATATTCCAAATGAAGGTAAACTTTCATTGATAATATTATTCTATCTTTAATTCATCAATTTTTGTGGTAAAAAACAGATTTTGCTATTGAAGATATCTTTCAAGATTGATATTAACTTAACTGATTTATAACGAACCAAAAGGTAATCGTTATCAAAATTTATTTATTTTGTTCATATATTTTATCCTATGTATTATGTTGGTGAAAGAAAGAAATAAATGATTTTTATTTGTTTTTTAGTTCATAAATAATAATTTTGTCTAATTTCTTATTATGTCATATAGCGCGCGACTTTAGATCAATGCATGAAGATACGAAAACCATTTTTAAAATGATCTCTATGTAATTTACTACGGTTGTTTAGAAAATCCTAAGATAGAAACACAAAAAAAGTTTTACAAACATCATTCAAATCTTTACTATAAAATTAATTTTGATTCCAACTGACACAGGTACATACCCAAGCTGTTCTCGAGAATGGGCTTGGTGCAGAGTGTCGGATATCAGCAAGCTTTAGAACACGGCTTGATCGATCCACTCGTTTGGTTGGATCTTATATGGCTTGGAGGTATCATTCCTTCTATTTTCGAAGTATAAGTCATACACTGTTCCGGACGAGGGTAAATTCGCTATTTGATATTTTTAATCCATTATTGTTGTTCTTTGGAATATCTGAGTATACATGCATGAATTCAAAGAGATATAAAGTGTCTTGCAAGAAAAACTATAAATTCAAGAACTAAGATAAATAAGATAGGCAATATCGATATACACTATTGTTACACTTAGTTAAAAGGAGTAAATTTTAATCGAATTGACAGGACGCTATGGCCTGTATAAGAACTAATTGACTAAAATCCAAAGTAAGTTATATTATTCCCGGCAATGATGAGCGATTAAACCTACTAGGGCGGCTAACGAAAAATTTCATTGGGAGTAATTGGAGTTTCTTGAGCTCATTAGAAAACTATTAAATTTTAAGGGATAATTGATTTTTTGTCAAAAAATCAACAGGACTTATTGTTACGGCCTATAACCTTACTCGAAAGTTCAAAAGCGCTTTCAGAAATCGGGGACTTATTTCTATAACAAACAAACTACAATTATGATTATGGATTATTTATGGTGGAGTTTATCCACTATTACTTGTAATCAAGCTTTGAAAACTATCTAATTAAAAATAATAATTAAACAAATAGAGTGTTTAAATATTAATTTATCTTTATTTAATTGACTAGTGCATGCAAGCTTCTTAATATTAAGAAGCTCTTTTTATACATGTTAGTTTTCTTAATTTTCTATAATTAACTCTTTTATCCATTTTGCAAGACTTTGGCATTGTTAAATTTGACAATGCCTTTTTCTAAAAAAAATTTGTTGACACTATCAAAATCACAAGAAGATTTAATAATCTAATAAACAAGTTTACTTATGCAAAATAATAATCAAATTTATTTATAATAATTTATTTAAGTTTTCTTATTATTAAAAATTTTAATAAGATAAGTGTTCAAGTAATCTTAAATAAAGTTATTTATCATACTTTCAAGTATATACAGTGGTACCGGAAATTATTTGGAAAATTATTACGTGATAAAAATCATCTAATGCAGTGTGACCACAAGAGCAAATAAAAATTTAATGCATATAAACAGACTTCGTGCATTTCAGGAAATACATTGTTTTTTTTAATCACCTTTTTTCTTATATTTCTCACCAGCAATGACATCACAACATGGAATTATCAAACAAATAATGGCAACGTGAAGTAATTCTACATTTGTGGAATAATAGTGTAAGGACGGCCAGGGAAATACAGCAAAAAACAAACATTGGCTTATCCACTATCTATTACAACTTAAAAAAATTGAAAGAAAAAGGGAACATGGCTCAAAAAAAAGATCAAGATAGACTGAAAAAAATTAACAGCTTGATAGCTAGTGCAATAGGTGCACATATATAATACAATCCTACAATTTCTGTTAGTGATTTAGTCAATAAATTGAAAGAAAACAGTTTCATAGTTGGAAGAGAAACAGTTCGAACTCACCTCATTGCTCACGGCTATAAAAATTCCCTCCTGCTTGCTACACCTATGCTTACGGATAATCATAAGAAAAAAAAAATCGAATGGATCCAAAAATATCTTAATGATGATTGGTCCCAAACGTTTTTTTCTGACAAAACATCTTTTTAACTATTTAGGAACACCATTACTCAGTGGTATAAACATGCCTGACCCATTCGATGTATTCCTAAAAACCAGCAAAAAATTCATGCGTGGGGTGGATTTTGTGTACACAATAAAACAAGTCTTTACTGCTTTGTGGGAAAGATGGATACAAAATTTTATGTCGGAATTCTTCAAGAACAATTTCCTGAGATCAAAGAAATGATGAAAAATAATTGGTGATTCTAGCAGGATAATGATCCAAAATACACAAATTATTTAGCGAAGGATTTTTTTCAAAGTAATGCGTCCGTCATTATGGATTGGCCGTCGAATAGTTCCGATTTAAATCCTATCGAAAATTTGTGGTTAATTATTAAAAGAAACGTGGAGAACCGGAGTCCGAAAGATTTAGAGGAGTTGGAAATGTTTATGGTCGAGGAATGGGAATGAATCCCAGACAAGATATTAGAATCTTTAGTCGATTTGATGCTGAGGAGATGTGAGGTGATAATTAGGAAGAATGGTAAATGAATAAATTATTAATTTATATTTTGTTCAAAACTTGTATTATTATTCTTTTAAATAAAAAAAAATTAAAATGATTGAATTACCAGTTTCTGAGAAAATGTGATTTAAAAATTTCCAAATAATTTCCAGTATCACTGTATATTTAAATTTTTATATTATTTAAATATATATTTATAGAGAAAATTAAAATTTCTGATTTTTTTTACATATTATATAATGTAATTGATAAATAATATTCTAGCAAAAAGTTTATATTAGTTTTTTTATAATTACTAAAGTTATCTTATCTATTATTTATTAGCTAAATCTATTATAATACATAAAAATTTATATTTCTTTATTAAAATATATATAATTAAATCTCTCTAAATATATTCCTCTTAGAATTATAGTAAAAAAAATAAAAATCATATATTTAAAGAGAGTATATATTTATAAAAATCAAAATATATAGAAATTTTATAAGCTAGAACCAGAATATATCATGTATTTAGAGAGAAGTTATATAGTATATGCACTTAAAAAGAGTATACTTAGAGAAATATAACTATAACTTAAATAATAATAAGAATTTTTATATTTAATATTATTATTAGTTATAATTATATTTAAAATTAAAGAAAAAGAATTTGAAATTAAAGAATTTTAAATAAGAGAATCTTATAAAATTCAATATTTAATAAAATAATTAGAATATTTTTTATATAATTTTATTATATATCTTCAAATATAAGTAATCAAAAAATAAAAGATTTTGACAGAATAAAAAAAGAAAGAATTGCTTATATTTAAGTATAAATTTATTATATTTTATATATAATATTTTCAGAATCTCAAATCTTAAAAGGAGATAATTGCTTATTTTTAGAGATATATAATATCTAAAAATCTATTAAAAATTTATAAAATGTTAAAAAGCTTATTAAATAATTTGAAATTATTACAAAAATAATAAGAATATTTATTCTTAAAAGAAGAGATATATAATAAATTTATAATAATAAAGATTATTAATTAAGTTTATAAATTATTAAATTATAATATTATATTATATATTATATTATATATTATTACTATATTATAATTATTCTATTTATTAAGTATTATATAAAGATAAATTAATTATTAATTATTTTTAAATAGAATTTCTTTTATTTCTTGTTTACTATATTTAATTAATAATTTTTTATTTTATTATTTATAATTATTTATTTTATATATAATAAGTATTTTTAAAAGTATTATAATTATTTTTTTTAAGTTTTATATATAAATATAATACTTTATTATTTTAAAAATACTTTTTTTACTCTATATTTTTTTATAAATATAAATTTATATATTTAATAAAATTTATTTGACTTTTATATAATCTCTTGTAAAATATATATATATAATCAGCATAGAAAATAATAATAAATATATTTTTTGCCTATAACTTAATAAGAAATTGTTAAAAATTTATGAAAATTTGGTATTATATTCTTTAAGATGATAAAAACAAATTTTTTAAGATCACAAAATATATTAACATAGTGATATTTTGTAAAATTATATGTTGAAGATAATAAACTAAGAGATTATTCTGATTAAGATATTATAAAAATTATTTAAAAATATTTTTTTATAGGAAGTATAAAAAATAATTTTATAAAAATATATTTATAATTTAAAAAAAATTTTAATTGATATTTATTAAATAAATATCAATTAAAAAAAGATTAAATTTTGATAAATTTCATAATAAAATATAATAAAATATATAATAACAAAATATAATAAAAATATTTTTTTATTATATTTTATTATAAAATTTATTAAAATTAAATAATTTCAACTGATATTTATTTAATAAATATCAATAAAAATTTTTTTTAAATTATAAATATATTTTTATAAAACTATTTTCATACTTACTTATAATAAAATTTTTAAATAATTTTTTATAGTACTTTAATTAGAGTATTCTTTAGTTTATTATATTTAAATCATGATTTCATAAAATATTATTATATAAAAAAAAATGTCATCTCTTTCACCCATACACCTCACGGGTATCTTAAATAACGCCTCACAAAATATCGAAACTCAAAACTGTGTTCCTTCTTAGCAAGAATTTAATGAAATTTCTTCTGGTCTTGTCTCCAAATGTACCTGGGCATTTACCCCAGATGAAGAAAGCCAGGATAGTAACTCTGAACATTCTTCTACCAGACAAACTAAAGAAAAAAACAAGCAAAGAATTTCCTTTGCTACGGAATCTGGCACTCTATCTGGTCATGATGAATGGCTTTCTCTCCCACATCAAAATCTAGATGCATCTCGTCATGCCTCTTACTATTCCCTAACCCCTTTTTCACCTGCTATGTATGGCAATTTTCCACCTTATCCCTATTACTCTCCCTTTTACATGTATAATTATGGTAATGAAAACTTCAACAACTCACCTAATTCAGAATTCAATAATGTGATTGATCGCCATCACATTAGGAGATTCCACACTATACAGCCCCCCCAATCTAATCAGGAAATCTCTTCGGATAACTCCAAGTCTTCCACAAATCCAAAAGAAAAACTCTCACGAAAGAAATCTTCTTCTTATGTCAACGCTACTAGATATATCTTGGACAAATCAACTTACAATATTACAAAAGACTATGGTATCTTTCTTCAAACAGACAGTGACTTTTCTCTCATATATGATATTTCACAACTTCAACTCATCCCAGATAATCAACTTATTTCCTCTTCTCATCTTTAATTTGGCACTGACACATTTGGTGCCAAGCTAAAATACATTCATGGCAAATGTACCTATCTAGAAGTTACTTTCACTTCTGAAGAATCTTAACTGAAATGGGAAGATAAAATTCTTGTTATAGCTGGCAAAAACCTGAAAGCTCAAAAAGCTTTCTCTAACCAAAAAACTTTCTTCTCTATCACTCTTTCTGGGGTTCCTCTCACCCAAAGTGATGAAATTACCTCTACTATCAAAGAAATCTTCAATAAAATAGGAAAAGTAGCCATTATCAAATCCAAACTCTGGGAAGATACTTCTCTCTGTTCAGACAAGTGGTCAGTTATCTTCGATACTACAATCCAAGAAGATCAACTCACCTTCTGTACCAAGATCCTTAGATCTATCCAAAT